GCTGCTGCAAGAATTGAAACATTCATTGCATTCAGCCGAGTATGAACTGGAATCGCTCAGGACGCGTTATAATTCTTTAACCGGAAAGGTCGGTTTGTGTGCTTTCTTCATGCATTTTCCAGTTTCTCAAATGTTGTTGCTGGAACCATCAAATTCCATGAAAACAGCAAATCTCATGCCTATGTTTAGAATTACTCTAGCTCAGAAAATTTCCATCTTGAAAAATACCAAAAGAAATCCGCCTGGCATTTTGATTTTTTCTTGATGTTGAAGCATCAGTCAATTGGAGATACTGAATTGCTACGAAATATCTACACGTTTTTTTAAACTTTTGAGCATTGCTTCTCTTTGTCTTGCATGTTTCCGAATATTCATTCTGATTTTTCTATCAGCAGTCTTAACAGCGGATAAGAATTTCTTTGATGGAAACACAACAGCTTCTTTGCTTGTTTGCCGACATTTTTTTTCTTCAATTTTGGTAGTTTTCCAGACTTTCGAAATTGAGCCACGAATGCGAGTACGTACATCAAGTGAATCGAACGCGGATTCATCGAATGCGGTTGTGGGTACAGAAGGAGCACCAGCTACAAACCGAGCAATTACAGATATGATTGAGCTGATCACTTCAATCCCTCAAACGGTACGGCATCGGCTCATTCTTGGACTTCATTTTGCCTGCTCTCTACAATTTTTTCATTCGTTTCGATGGTAAATTGGCGTATTCCAATCAGACCCATCGCCATCTTGCTTTTAGGCAATGCTTGAAAGAGGGAGTCATCGACAGCCTTGTCAGCGGATTGTTGCCCGTGGCATTTGCTACCACTGAAACTGCTTTACCGAATGTTTCTACTTTTCATCAGTGCCTCTACATGCGGAACGATCCCTCCGGATATCGAGGGGCCGTCCCGCTTCTTACGATTCTTTAGTCTAAGATCTTTGTACTGCTTTTTTTTTTGCAGATGAGGAAACGAAAAGGGCCGTCTTCATCGACTTCGCCATCGCCAGTGGATACGAGCAGGAGGCTTCGCAAAAACTGAATGTTGTTTTGTTCGTTGCTCGGAGTGCAGTTGGCTTTCTTGGCCATTCAAGCGAAATCGAAGGAATGTTCTCAGTTGTGGCCCATCACTCACCATCTACTACTGTATACAGGAACGTGACGGCGGATACGAAATCCGTTTGCTAGCAGCTGCGCTCGAGATGGCAGACTGGCAGTTTCGTTTTGAAGTGCTTTGTTTTTTTGCTTTCGGTTCTCCCTCCTCGCCCCTTCATTTTTCCTTTTTCCTCATCCCTCCCCCTCATTTCCCAGTCCTGCCATCCCCTTCCTTCACATGGTTTAGATGGTATTTCAAAGAATCAAATATTTGCTCTCGAGTGTTTTTTTTGCGTTCAATTCAGGAAGTGCGCTGTCTTTGTGCCTCGTCTCTGTGTATATAGAGGTGTGGCTGATGCCCGTTGCCAGTCTCTGCTCTCTTTGCTGCAATTGTTTTTGGATTATTTCGGAAATTGGCAAATTTTGTATTATATTTTTTTTTTGTTGCATAAATAAACGTAGAAAACACTGCTGAATAAAAAATACTGCATAAAAAAAAAGCACGCTGAAGCATAGTTGATAAACCCTGAAGAAAAAAATCCGACAAAAAGCACCGATCAAGAAAACCACCTATATTTTAAAAATCTCTTCTCACTGATGCCTTTATAGAAGACGGAGTAGTCGGCACCAGCGCGAATAACATTAGGGTAGTCTAAAATATGCTAAAAAAGCATCGCTATGCTCTTTTTACGTGTCTGTAGCTGAGTTAAAATTGTTTTAAATATGCAAACAGGCTACAGCAGTGATGACTGTTATTCTTTTTCTTTTTTTTTTTTGATACTTTGATCAGTTTAAGTTATTCACAGGTGCTGCTGAATGCAGTTGGCAACTTCTCCATTCTTCTTCGTTTTAGGTTCCTCGCATTCACATAACAGACTCTGCTCGGGCGTTCCAGCGAATTCTTCCACGCATCAGCGCTCTGTACGCCTCCTATAACTGTTAAATATTCTACTCAGTTTCGAATAGACTTTCCAATAGTTTTCGTACTGCCTTTCACATTCAAGGATCTAATAGCACATGAAGCTTTCGAAGGGATCAGTTCCTTAGTTACAATCCTATCCATGTGTTGTCTGGCCTAGTTGTTAAGTGTAATTGCCATGGCGAAGACCGCACATTTCGGTTTCTTGAAATTCGTCCAACTCCGGCATTTCTAGCTTTTTGATCATTCTCTCGATCAGCCTCTGTAAAATCATGTTTAAGCCACCTCGCTTCGATTCTTCTCACTTGGTCCCGGCAGTTATTAGTGAAAGCATGCATAGCTGTCACATGTTTATAACTCTTTAGAGGATTTGGTAGGAAATGGGTCCCTTATTTTCTGGAAAGGCTTGAAAAACGACTAAAGAGTTATAAATTTACTGGTGAAAAGCGAAGAAGAAGGGAAGAAAAAGTGAAAACAACAAATCTGTGGGACGGTATAAAATTCTAGTGTTCAGTTAATAGAAAAAATTATTAAAAGAAAAAAAGTGTTTTGTCGATTTTAGAGAATGGGATTTGCGCTGGCAAGAATCGAGGGAATTGAGGGAGGGTGAAGGTGAAGGAGCAATAAGTCTGTTGTGGAGTACAAAATTCCGGTGCTGAGAAAAACTAGTAGAAAGGAAAAACATTGTCCTTTTGCCGGTCGAAAAACATCAAAAACCTGCGCCTACCATCTTCCCCTGTTCCAAATACATCGTTATATTGTTGTTATTCATAAAATTTCCGGATTCAACATTCCTCCAGAGAGTTATTGTTAGTTTTTTCGATGATCGGTGAATCAGGGAGAGGCTGAGGATGAGTTTGGTCAATTCATGTGACGATGCGATGATGAAACTTTCTGCATCACCAGCAGAAGGTGGATTAAAGCTCACACTGCTGAAGCCTCAGGGGAGAGGGAGG